ATATCTGTCATATGTTGCGGTTCGGACCGGAATATCCGTCCCGAGGGGAACCGCCCATTGGGCGGTAACGAGGCTTGCCGAGTTACCGCCCATGGGCGGGTTCCCGAGGGACGGATATTCCGATCCGAACCGCAAACATATGTCAGATATTTTTTCTTGCATATTATGCCGTATTATTTCAAATTTAAAATGGTTTACCTCAATATGATATATGTTCATGGAAATTAGAGTCATTTCATCCATAACTATTTTCTTACAATAGCGCATGAACTTACAACTTAAATAACAACGACGAAATGACGTCATCCTAAGCACATATTTCCCTTCTAAAACGACGTCATTTTAACGCGGTTCATTCATAAAGTGCGCTAAAATGACGTTGTTGTTTGGCACGCGACTCATCTGGAACCCCCCATGCCAGATGAAATTTCCGGCATGGGTAAAACTCACGGAAACGCCAGTCTGCTATGCAAGAAATTATATTCGTGTAGATTCAATACTGAATTTATTAAACTCGTTGAATAAAACAATATTATGCTCGCCAGAGGCTCGCATAATATGATTTTATTCAACTCGTTTAATAAATTTAGTATTAAACTACACTCGTTTAATATCCTCTATTTATCGCACACCCGTGCTGATTTTGCGACTCCGTAAATATGGTATTGCAAGGCCGAGCATATATTTTGACGTGACGTCATTAGCGTTATACAAACATAGTGTAAAGACGCGCTAAATGTTAGCGCTATAGACGAGTCAATGAAAAATGACTTTAATATCACTTTAAACGGTCTAAATTTTGGCTCGCATAATATAATTTTATTCAACTCGTGCAATAAGTTTAGTATTGAACTTACACTCATTCAATATCCTCTCTATATATAAACTAACATTGTAATATCGAGTGATTGTTTGCTAATCATACAATAAGTTATTTGATTACCAGAGTTACAGTTTTTAACCAGGTTTTCAACTAAAACAGGTAATTGTAATGACGAAGTCGGCGGGCGGGCGTCAACTTTTGGTTTCCGCTCAATAACATTAGTTTGCACCAAACTTGGTGTGTAAGAAGCCTATATCAAGAGGCAGCTTGAGATTCCTACCCAGGTGTCTATGTTCAAAGTCAATGTCACTGTTTCTTAAAATAGAAATTCAGTTTCCGTTCAATAACTTTAGTTTGCTTTGGCCTGTTGACACCAAATTTGGTGTGTAAGTAGCCTATATCAAGATGCAGCTTGGGATTGCTACCCAGGTGTCTGTGATCAAGGTTAATGTCACTGTTACTAAAAATAAAAATTCAAATTCCGCTCAATAAATTGAGTTTGCTTTGGCATATTGACACTAGACTTGGTGTGTGCGTAGCTTATATCAAGAGGCAGCTTGGTATTGCTACCCAGGTGACTGTAAACAATGTCAAGGTCGCTGTCACTAAAACGGTTTCAGTTTCTGCTCAATAACTTGAGTTTGTTGTGACCTATTGACTGCAAATTTGGTGTGTGGGTAGCTTAAAGCATGGTGCAACTTGGGATTGCTATATACCCAGATGTCTTTGTTTAATGTCAATGTTGCTAAAAAGAAAATTAGTCTCCGCATAATAACTTTGTTTGCTTAGACATATTGACACCAAATTTAGTATGTGCATAGCTTATATCAAGACGCAATTTAGGATTGCTACCCAGGTGTTCAGAACAATGTCCCTGTTGCACACATAAGAAATTCAGTTTTCATATAATAACTTTAGTTTACTTTGACCTTTTGACACCAAACTTATTGTGTGGCAGCTTAGATATCTGGGAGCAAGCTCAAGGTCATAAGCTTATAATAGAACTTTCAGCTGCTGCTCAATAACTTCAGTGCACTTTGACCTATTGTTTCCTGTGACATTAAAAAATGGTCGTTGAAAACCTGGTTTCGTCGCATTGCTGCGCTTCTTATGTATCACTTATATATAGATAACTTGTCTGACTTTTTGAGTAATAGACAAGTATTGTATGTATGTGAACTATATATCATTCAGTCACCACAGAGCAGGTTCTAGGGTTTCGTCTAGGACTCTCACTCTAAAAGCTTTACAGTCACTCCAGGATGCTATATAAAATGTTTACATATATTATATTTAGAGGTCACGAACTTCTATATTGTTACATTGCATGTAATTGCTGTTATTGTTTGTTCAGCTATTCAAATATTGGAGGAAATAGAAGTATCTATCTATCTGTCTAATAATGTTATAGTAGCAAATTGTTTGGAAAGAGCTCACAATATAAATAATCATTCCGAGTTGTTTTTTAACACCTAGCGTACGTGTGTACTATTTCAATTGCATTACCATGTATAAAACCCCAGACTTCGCTGCTATAATTAAGTATAGGACTAACAAGTTTATCAAAATGTAAACTAGTAGAAATATCAATAAATTTATATAGATGCTTGTTCATTTTAATGTTACTTTTAACGCTTGTCCGGCAATGCTATTTTGAGCTTCTGCAAAAGATCCCCCTGACAATTCCTAAATATGTAAATTGCTAACTTTATGCACAGCCGTGCAATACCATTTTTATGGAGTAAAATCGGCACGGTATGTGTTAAATTATCAAATGTTACAAAGATATTAAACATTTATAAATATTACAAAAATCTTACCTGCTTCTCTCTCCTCTGTCACAAATATGAATTAAAAGAAGATAATAGATCTTTAAAAGGGATTATAGATATTCAATATGACAGCAAATAAGTTATGTATATTGAAGATATAAATTCATGCGTGGATAATTAGACGTCATCTTTTCAAAACTTCAAAACGCATCGTTGAAAAAATTAATACATAATTATATGATATTAGATATACAGGCGCGGCCTCTGTTCTTTCCGTGATATATCTGAGAAAACAAAGATCTCGCAATTTTGCCTAGTTCAGATGTTACTTGATTTGTTACTTATTATTCAGTGTAATTTTTATGGAATTTTATTAATAATTGACGATAATGTGCACTTAATATTGTATTGTCCACATACTGTATTATTTATTGTCTATCGCAATTTATTTGTTTCTTATTGTCATTTGAAGGCAATTTTTATCAAGCATCTTGTGCACATATGTATTTTTTGTTACTAGATGTTGTGTAATTAGGTGTCTTATGCATAAAATTTGTTACTTATTGACAGAAATTCTAGGAAATGGTCATCATATGCACAAAACCTTATTATGATATATCATTTTGTGCACTAAACCGTATTAAGATATCATTTTCTTCACTAAACCGTATTATGAAATCAGTTTGTGCACAAACCGTATTAGGACATCATTATATGTACTAAACCGTATTGGGACACCATTTTGTGAACTAAACCGTATAAGGACATCATTTTAGCACTAAACCCTATTATGAGATCATTTTGTGCACTAAACCATATTATGAGATCATTTTGTGCACTAAACCGTATTATGAGATCATTTTGTGCACTAAACCGTATTATGATATCATTTTGTGCACTAAACCATATTATGATATCATTTTGTGCACTAAACCGTATTATGAGATCATTTTGTGCACTGAACCGTATTACGATATTGATATATGCACTAAACCGTATATGGACATCATTTTGTGCATTAAACCGTCTGAAATACGGAACTTCTAAATTCTGAATTCAGAACAATTTTCTGGTAAAATTTAGTTTCTGTAAGTTCAAGTTTACTTCCAAAATCCAGAAATTGAACAAGGTGTGAAGGAATTATACTTGTGATTGTAAAACCTTCAAAATGTAAGTATCTTCCAATAAGCAGAAAGTACTTATCTTGACACCTGTTACATGTGTTAGATTCGAGTGTAGCACAAAAGCCCTCCCGGACAAAAGGTAGAGGCCAACAAGCTAATGCTTCATGCCAAATATCTAACTCTAGGCATTGTAGTTTCACCAAAATAAGACTTAAATTTGTTTTCCTAAACAAATATTTTAACTAATATACTCCCTGGCTGGGCAAATATTGACCAAAGGGTCATGATTAATACCAGTTATTAGATGTAACGTGCCAAATATATAAACTCTGGGCATCGTAGTTTCACACAATAAGTCTCAGATGTGTTTTTCCTATGTAAGTCAATATAAATCAAGTGACCAATATTGAACCAAGGGGTATGATTCATATCAATTTTGTAAAGGTCAATAAGGCAATGGTACATGCATGCTATCTATCTATCTAACGTATATACATTGTAGTTTCACACAATGAAACTGAAATGCGTTTTCTAATTTCTTAAATAAGTCTTTATTTATATAGTAATCCCCAGGGCAAGGCCAATTTTGATCTTAGGAAGCCTAAGCCTATGTTCTGCACACCGTCTCATTATAATTATTATTTCTGCTAAAAAGTATTTATGTCTTTCTATCGGTTCAAAAATACAGTGGGGGACACAAAAGTTTTTGAATTTATATAAAATGATTGTGACCTTGACCTGAGAAAGGTCAAACCTGCACGCTGCACATCATCTCATAATGATTTTATTTCTATCAAGTAGTTTCAATTTCCTTGCACCGGTTCAAAAGTTTCAGACCAGACACAAAAACTGCTAACAGACGGCGGGACAACCAGGTGCATAATATTATAATTTTTGGATGTATAAAAACGATAAATATTTGGCAACCGAAAGTAGATGATTCATTTCAGTATCGTGCCATCAATTGAAAGCATTTTGTAAAATTGTACCAGAATAATTATACGCTTATACATTCTATTTAACTGTTTGTTTGTTTGGGTTTTACGTCAGACCAACACAGTATAGGTCATATGGCGACGTTTCAGCTTAACTGGTAGAGGAAGACCTCAGGTGCACTTCCGTGCATTATTTCAGGCACCTGAGTAGAACCACCGACGTTCCGTAAGCATGAAAGAATCTAAAGTCCCTGTCGGGATTCGAACCCACAGCAGTGAGTTTAGGAATGTAAATTACAAATCACAAATTAACCAATAAACACATCAGTATAATCCAATAACTTCTCATAACATTTATTCATTATTTAACCCTCATCTGTACAAACTAGAATATCCATGTTTATATTCATTGTTGCAATAAAAAAGTATTAAAAACAAAATACAAAAATATAATTAATATTATAAAATTGTAATATATAAATTAAAAGTATTCATCAAATATAAATCACGTATAATAATATCAGACACACAGCAAACATATTTCTCCCTGTCAATTTTGTATTCTTCTTACATTTAGAACAAGTGGAGGCTTTGGTTTCACACTCAATGCTTGAATTCTTTTAAACTTGTAATTTGGTACAAGACTGAATTCAAACTCTCTCAGTAGACTTGACAACACCATCTTCATCTCAAGCATGGCAAATTTGTGCCCTATACACATGTGTGGCCCAGCAATAAATGGCAAGTGTTTGTACGGTTCAGTGTCCTCCATGAAACGTTCTGGGAGAAATTTCTCAGGATTTTCCCAATTCTCTTCCATCCTGTAAGTAAATGAATTATTTTAATATACAGTATAAGCTCCGCAACACCATATGTTGGCCCAACGATTTTGGTTGTTGCCCTACAGGGGGAGTGGGGGGGTTGTTCTGGAGAGGTTACACTGTATGTTTAAAAAGTAAAAAAAAGTTAATTGTAATCTTATCGGCCTTTTTAAAAACTTAGGTGAAATCTCAGCAATTGGACAATTACAGTGACCTGATATGAACCTTTCTTTACTGCATTAGTGTAAGAGAATTCCATTCTTTGCATTATAAACTTAGTAGCAGAAGCAAAGACTCTGTAAGTTATAAGGATTACATGATGGCACTAATGACATGACAAAGTCTTTACAAAATTCGTATTTAGTTTTAACATTATTTATGTAAGTTTAATTGCTAAGAAAGTTTTTAGTATATTTGAACCAGTTTCATGTTTGCTTCATGCAACCAATGATCTAAATGAACATGATGATAGCCTCAATCCCTCTCCTTATACTACTAGTAAGGCGTCTAATGTGATTTTGAGGTAAGTTTTGCCATTCTTGGTGCTGAGCTTGTTCCAGTTGTTGCAGGTTGACTATAGGTAATTCATACCATTGCAAAAATAAAATTTATAATTTCAGTTGTGGCAATGTCAAAATTGAGGCAAAATGCTGGGTATGAGGAGAAGGGTCTAGTCTATCATCAGGTGGCGGTTAATACCTTACTAAAAATTTGGCTACATAATGTCATTTTAGGTTACATAAGTATCAAGAATTATCACCACCAGTAAATAGTTTGTAAACGTTTCAACAACTAATAAACACTTATATTTTTGGTAAAAAACAACACATTTGCTTATGCTTCAATAATTTGGTTAAGAATAAACTAAACTCATAAATTTACTGGTTTATGATTACTAAATTGGTATTGGTACATATCAAATTACTATTTCTTAGCTCAATTTAGTTGTCATCTCATGACAGTACTTTCAATCATGACCAATTTTAATTTTCCGGGGTATTCATTATAAAAATTCAGTAAGTAAAGGGTGAGAATCAGCCAAAATAAAGAAAGTATATTAACCTATGTAGAGCTCCAAGATGAAGCACCACCTTTGTACCAGCAGGGATTGGTAGACCATCTATTACATCATCTGATAGTGCCTCTCTTGTAGTGTTGGACACAACTGGATATAATCTGTATATTACAATACACAAGGAAATAATTAAACATATTTCATTTTGTAAGCTATTGACTTTTAGCCAGCTGGCTGCAACAGTTTCTACCCATACTACCAGTGCAGACCAAGATCAGCCAGAATATATGCTACTAGTATTATCTGATCATGTTCTACACTGTTTGTTATTCAGTTAGTTTACATTTTGATTGTTTTTTCTCTCTAATTTTGTCCATTTTGTATACTGGGCAAGTCAATGCACAACATTTAGTGTGGTAAATGTAAGTCAATGTACAAAATTATTATCTTTCTTTTATATGTTATCTATTCATTATGCTGGTAATGCTACAATTCAAGAATGTACATCTACAAATGTACTACTAAAGTTTTTTTTTTCATCTAAAGTACTGAGATTAAGGTGTTTCTTTCAGCTTTAATCCACATAAATGGCAATTAACAATTCTGTAAATTAAATGTTAATATTGTAAAATAATGCTAATTTCTAACAATTTAAATGCTACCTTTGTGTTTCTTTGATCACACAATGTAAATACTGTAACTGATCCAGCATATCATGAGTGATATTATCACAGATGTTGGGGATCACACCCTGAACCTCCTTCCTTGCACGCTCCTGAACCTCTGGGTAGCTGGCCAGGTGCAACATGGTCCATGTCAGGGTGATGCTTGTAGTCTGAAATTTATTGAGATTAATTAGTTTATAATACTTTGTTTTAGTTTGATTGTGTTGGAAGCTATATGCTTATTGAAACATTCTCAAATCCGTTCCTGGACCCAATCAGTACTAAGCAATGGGTGTAAAGTTCCTCACTCACAGAAACAACGGCTTGCCCCAGATGGGTTTGAACCCATGTTGCCAGCAATTCTTAAAATACTAGTTTGGCATGTTAACCACATGGCCACGCCACCACGCCATAACTCTGCTACAAAACTTCAAATAATTAAGTACTTATTATTGGTTATCACCATTTTGTGAATATTTTGTTGAAATATCTCAGGAAATGTAATAGAAATTGCACACAGCTGCCTATTATTATTTACCAATGTAATTACACTATTTTACAAGGTTAATATTCCTAACAAATTAATACCGGTGAATGAAATACACTAATTAAGTTAATTTAAGAAGTATAACCATCTTAAAACGCATAAATTCTATATTAGAAGCTAAACTATCTAAAAAAAAAATGTTATAATATCACAGACAATTCTGTACCACAATGTCAAAAGTAATTGAAACATATGACAATGTACATGTATGACATTTAAAGCTTTGATATATTTGTAATTTTAATTACATTCAGACAAATTATCTCCAGGATATCAATTCTATTTCTACACAGTTCTAATATATGACAACTCAATTTTCCTTTTAACTTCAGACCAAATCTTATAAATAAACTTTACATAGTATAAATAAAGTAATTTTCAGCATGTCAGGATTGGGCAGAAAACTATGAAAGTTTAATAATGCGCTCTCACTAATTGGTGATCTGAGGTTAAATGATTAATGTTTCTGACATCAAATCACTGATGTGTGTTCAAATATCGCCACAAAAGCAGCAAAAACTCTATACATCTTTGTGACTTATACCTTTCTCTACCGGAGCTAAAATCATTTGTTTTTGCCTCCAGTATATTACCTCCAAATATGTGATGTGTAACCAGACTCGTACATTGTTGGTTGGCCAATTTTTCATTATGAAAACCATAAAATTGGTTATGAACGAACAGTTCCAATCTGAATCATGGAAGTCTATTTTAGAAATTCAGCAGGTTACTTGGTAAATGCATAATCAAAACATGAACTAGAAGTGTATCCACAGAACACAGATTCTACAAACATTCTATTGCTTTGTCCATCTATAGACAGCAGGATGGACATTTTAATAAAATGGCACCTGTGTGTTTACCCCATAGTTTAAACAGCCACATCAATTCATTTTAGCCACATAAACTGTTAACTTTATTAAATGAAACACACCAAAATTTAAAGGTAACCTTCTTTTCTCATAGCCACTATTTTCCAAGTAGAGCAGTTCAACATGACAAATGTACAGACAGCCAAGGGCAAATTTATATGCCCCAACACCTCCCAAATCTCCAAAGTAGTGGGGAAGTAGGGGCGGGGGCATAAAAAAATGTCTAATGCATGAGCTTGCCATGAACTTTTCAATTAATAAAAATAAACACTTCAATTTGTCAGCTGACATCTAGTTAGTTCACACAGTGTCATAAACAAGTTAAAACCCTCTGGTACAATAGATAGAATCAACTTACATCAAAGCCTGCAAATAACAAGCCTGCAACATTTTCAAACACCAAGTCATCTGGGATAGATCTTCCTTCTTCATCACGTGCCAATACAAGGAGAGATAGAAAATCACGTGCTTCATTTACTGTGAATCAAAAATGGTCTCTTATAATACTTTATACCAGTAGTGGAAAAAGATAAGACAAAGATGTCTCGCTTCATAAATACAACATTTTTCTAGCAGCAGGATCAGATTTTCGTTGTTCATTTTTTGTCCTGTAACTCTTTTGATACTTAGCATTATAACAACAACAGAAGCTACTTTTGCATGGGACAAGTGAAGACACATTTCATCTGGCACTTCCATGTGGTCATGACCATTCATTATTTATAAGAAAATTTTCTGTAATGACTAAATACATGTAGCAAACAGTATAGACCATGGTGAGATGTCACAGATCTACTGGCTGATCTTCGTCTGCACTGGTTGCATGGGTAGTAGAACAAGTTGCTGCCAGCAAGCTAACAGTTAAATTAAGCACACAGTGACAGCCTATGTGGGGTTACATAAAGCATTAAGAGATATCCTGTGGCAATAATACAAAGCATAAATCAGAGTTCAATCTGCTATACATCTGCATTGTATTTTTTAGCAATAAAGGGAGACAAATATGAACAAAATATCTTGATTTTGAAACAGTTTTGTTATCTTACCACAGTTCTGTCGTGGGTTATGTATTTTATGTTTTGCACACTTGTTTGATAATTGATTCAAAAATGCAAGAAAAAGTGTTGTAAGTTTAATTTCATTAACGTACATAAATACTTCAAATAACCAGGAAAATACTATCAGAGATTAAGCCAGCTCAGGTGAGCTTGGAATCTCCACTTAATACCGGTATAAGATTTCTCACCTGCAGATTCATCACAATCCTTATACTGTTGACGTTTATCACTTATCCTAGAGTTGATGAGAGATTTAATATAAGCTTCTTCTCTCCATCGTTCTTTGTTTACACGAAGTGGTAACGAGTTGTAAAATGGAATAAGAGATGCCAGTAAACTGTAAATAAATGTTTAATCAAATACTTTTACACTGACAGTAAAAAAGAACACAAGCATTCTTTTGTATTTACTCAACAATTTTAAAAGTTTGAAACTAAACTATTGTAGTACAAAAAGCTTAACCTTATGTTGTTTTTTCCGAAGAAATACTAATATAGAAAAGATATCAGTGAGAAAAAATCATATCACACAGTTTGAAACTGGGTGAAACATGAAATATGGATGATATTGAAGAGCAATACAATGTAACTCCATATTTTGGAAAGGCAGTTACGGTTCTTGGCCACTGCACATCTACCCATTGAGATCTATCTACCTGCAAAGTTTCATGTTGATACCTCTAGTGTTATCACTTTAGGTAGCATAAAAAAGAATAGTGTTTTCATAGACGGTCTTATTCTGTAATGCTGACATTTAGTCTCACTGTATTTTGCAA